AATGGTAACGCCCTCTCTAATGGTAACGCCCTCTCTAATGGTAACGCCCTCTCTAATGGTAACGCCCTCTCTAATGGTAACGCCCTCTCTAATGGTAACGCCTCTCTAATGGTAACGCCCTCTCTAATGGTAACGCCCTCTCTAATGTTAACGCCCTTCTAATGGTAACGCCCTCTCTAATGGTAACGCCCTCTCTAATGGTAACAGCCCTTTTTAATGGTAACGCCCTCTCTAATGGTAACGGCATTTTTAATGGTAACGCCCTCTCTAATGGTAACGGCCTCTCTAATGGTAACGCCCTCTCTAATGATAACGGCCTCTCTAATGGTAATCCCTCTCTAATGGTAACGCCCTCTCTAATGGTAACGCCCTCTCTAATGGTAATGCCATCTCTAATGTGGTAACGGCCTCTCTAATGGTAACGGTCTCTCTAATGGTAACGCCCTCTCTAATGGTAACGCCCTCTCTAATTGTAACGCCCTCTCTAATGGTAACGCCCTCTCTAATGGTAACGCCCTCTCTAATGGTAACGCCCTCTCTAATGGTACGACGCCCTCTCTAATGGTAACGCCCTCTCTAATGGTAACGCCCTCTCTAATGGTAACGCCCTCTCTAATGGTAACGCCCTCTTAATGGTAACGCCCTCTCTAATGGTAACGCCCTTTTTAATGGTAACGCCCTCTCTAATGGTAACGCCCTCTCTAATGGTAACGCCCTCTCTAATGGTAACGCCTCTCTAATGGTAACGCCCTCTCTAATGGTGACGCCCTCTCTAATGGTAACGCCCTCTCTCTAGTGGTGACGCCCTCTCTCTAATGGTAACGCCCTCTCTAATGGTAACGCTCTCTCTAATGGTAACGCCCCTCTCTAATGGTAACGCCCTCTCTAATGGTAACGCCCTCTTTAATGGTAACGGCCTCTCTAATGGTAACGCCCTCTCTAATGGTAACGCCCTCTCTAATGGTAACGCCCTCTCTAATGGTAACGCCCTCTCTAATGGTAACGCCTCTCTAATGGTACCCTCTCAAATGGTTAACGCCCTCTCTAATGGTAACGCCCTTTCTAATGGTAACGCCCTCTCTAATGGTAACGCCCTCTCTAATGGTAACGCCCTCCCTAATGGTAACGCCCTCTCTAATGGTAACGGCCTTTCTAATGGTAACGCCATCTCTAATGGTAACGCTTTCTCTAATGGTGACGCCCTCTCTAATGGTAACGCCATCTCTAAAAGTAACGCCCTCTCTAATAGTAACGCCCTTTCTCATGGTAACGCCCTCTCTAATGGTGACGCCTCTCTAATGGTGACGCCCTCTCTAATGGTAACGCCCTCTCTAATGGTAACGCCCTCTCTAATGGTAACGCCCTCTCTAATGGTAACGGCCTCTCCAATGGTAACGCTCTCTCTAATGGTAACGCCCTCTCTAATGGTAACGCCCTCTCCAATGGTAACGCCCTTTCTCATGGTAACGCGCTCTCTAATAGTAACGCTCTCTCTAATGGTAACGCCCTCTCTAATGGTAACGCCCTCTCTAATGGTAATGCCATCTCTAATGGTAACGGCCTCTCTAATGGTAACGGTCTCTCTAATGGTAACGACCTCTCTAATGGTAACGCGCTCTCTAATTGTAACGCCCTCTCTAATGGTAACGCCCTCTCTAATGGTAACGCAATTTCTAATGGTAACGCCCGCTCTAATGGTAACGCCCTCTCTAATGGTAACGCCCTCTTTAATGGTAACGCCCTCTCTAATGGTAACGCCCTCTCTAATGGTAACGCCCTCTTTAATGGTAACGCCCTCTCTAATGGTAACGCCCTTTTTAATGGTAACGCCCTCTCTAATGGTAACGCCCTCTCTAATGGTAACGCCCTCTCTAATGGTAACGCCCTCTCAAATGGTAACGCCCTCTTTAATGGTAACGCCCTTTCTAATGGTAACGCCCTCTCTAATGGTAACGCCCTCTCTAATGGTAACGCCCTCCCTAATGGTAACGCCCTCTCTAATGGTAACGGCCTTTCTAATGGTAACGCCATCTCTAATGGTTACGCTTTCTCTAATGGTGACGCCCTCTCTAATGGTAACGCCATCTCTAAAAGTAACGCCCTCTCTAATAGTAACGCCCTTTCTCATGGTAACGCCCTCTCTAATGGTGACGCCTCTCTAATGGTGACGCCCTCTCTAATGGTAACGCCCTCTCTAATGGTAACGCCCTCTCTAATGGTAACGCCCTCTCTAATGGTAACGGCCTCTCCAATGGTAACGCTCTCTCTAATGGTAACGCCCTCTCTAATGGTAACGCCCTCTCCAATGGTAACGCCCTTTCTCATGGTAACGCGCTCTCTAATAGTAACGCTCTCTCTAATGGTAACGCCCTCTCTAATGGTAACGCCCTCTCTAATGGTAACGGCCTCTCTAATGGTAACGGCCTCTCTAATGATAACGGCCTCTCTAATGGTAATGCCCTCTCTAATGGTAACGCCCTCTCTAATGGTAACGCCCTCTCTAATGGTAATGCCATCTCTAATGGTAACGGCCTCTCTAATGGTAACGGTCTCTCTAATGGTAACGGCCTCTCTAATGGTAACGCCCTCTCTAATTGTAACGCCCTCTCTAATGGTAACGCCCTCTCTAATGGTAACGCAATTTCTAATGGTAACGCCCGCTCTAATGGTAACGCCCTCTCTAATAATAACGCCCTCTCTAATGGTAACGCCCTCTCTAATGGTAATGCCATCTCTAATGGTAACGGCCTCTCTAATGGTAACGGTCTCTCTAATGGTAACGACCTCTCTAATGGTAACGCCCTCTCTAATTGTAACGCCCTCTCTAATGGTAACGCCCTCTCTAATGGTAACGCAATTTCTAATGGTAACGCCCGCTCTAATGGTAACGCCGTCTCTAATGGTAACGCCCTCTTTAATGGTAACGCCCTCTCTAATGGTAACGCCCTCTCTAATGGTAACGCCCTCTTTAATGGTAACGCCCTCTCTAATGGTAACGCCCTTTTTAATGGTAACGCCCTCTCTAATGGTAACGCCCTCTCTAATGGTAACGCCTCCCTAATGGTGACGCCCTCTCTTATGGTGACGCCCTCTCTAATGGTAATGCCCTCTCTAATGGTGACGCCCTCTCTAATGGTAACGCCCTCTCTAATGGTAACGCTCTCTCTAATGGTAACGCCCTCTCTAATGGTAACGCACTCTCTAATGGTAACGCCCTCTTTAATGGTCACGGCCTCTCTAATAGTAACGCCCTCTCTAATGGTAACGCCCTCTCTAATGGTAACGCCCTCTCTAATGGTAATGCTCTCTCTAATGGTAACGCCCTCTCTAATGGTAACGTCCTCTCTAATGGTAACGTCCTCTCTAATGGTAGCGCCCTCTCTAATGGTAGCGCCCTCTCTAATGGTAGCGCCCTCTCTAATGGTAGCGCCCTCTCTAATGGTAACGCCATCTCTAATGGTAGCGCCCTCTCTCTAATGGTAGCGCCCTCTCTAATAGTAGCGCCCTCTCTAATGGTAGCGCCATCTCTAATGGTAACGCCCTCTCTAATGGTAACGCCCTCTCTAATGGTAACGCCCTCTCTAATGGTAACGCCCTCTCTAATGATAACGCCCTCTCTAATGGTAACGCCCTCTCTAATGGTAACGCCCTCTCTAATGGTAACGCCCTCTCTAATGGTAACGCCCTCTCTAATGGTAACGCCCTCTCTAATGGTAACGCCCTCCCTAATGGTAACGCCCTCTCTAATGGTAACGGCCTTTCTAATGGTAACGCCATCTCTAATGGTAACGCTTTCTCTAATGGTGACGCCCTCTTTAATGGTAACGCCCTCTCTAATGGTAACGCCCTCTCTAATGGTAACGCAATTTCTAATGGTAACGCCCGCTCTAATGGTAACGCCCTCTCTAATGGTAACGCCCTCTCTAATGGTAACGCCCTCTCTAATGGTAACGCCCTCTTTAATGGTAGCGCCCTCTCTAATGGTAACGTCATTTTTAATGGTAACGCCCTCTCTAATGGTAACGCCCTCTCTAATGGTAACGCCCTCTCTAATGGTAACGGCATTTTTAATGGTAACGCCCTCTCTAATGGTAACGGCCTCTCTAATGGTAACGGCCTCTCTAATGGTAACGGCATTTTTAATGGTAATGCCCTCTCTAATGGTAACGCCCTCTCTAATGGTAACGCCCTCTCTAATGGTAATGCCATCTCTAATGGTAACGGCCTCTTTAATGGTAACGCCCTCTCTAATGGTAACGCCCTTTTTAATGGTAACGCCCTCTCTAATGGTAACGCCCTCTCTAATGGTAACGCCTCCCTAATGGTGACGCCCTCTCTTATGGTGACGCCCTCTCTAATGGTAATGCCCTCTCTAATGGTGACGCCCTCTCTAATGGTAACGCCCTCTCTAATGGTAACGCTCTCTCTAATGGTAACGCCCTCTCTAATGGTAACGCACTCTCTAATGGTAACGCCCTCTTTAATGGTCACGGCCTCTCTAATAGTAACGCCCTCTCTAATGGTAACGCCCTCTCTAATGGTAATGCTCTCTCTAATGGTAACGCCCTCTCTAATGGTAACGTCCTCTCTAATGGTAACGTCCTCTCTAATGGTAGCGCCCTCTCTAATGGTAGCGCCCTCTCTAATGGTAGCGCCCTCTCTAATGGTAGCGCCCTCTCTAATGGTAACGCCATCTCTAATGGTAGCGCCCTCTCTCTAATGGTAGCGCCCTCTCTAATAGTAGCGCCCTCTCTAATGGTAGCGCCATCTCTAATGGTAACGCCCTCTCTAATGGTAACGCCCTCTCTAATGGTAACGCCCTCTCTAATGGTAACGCCCTCTCTAATGATAACGCCCTCTCTAATGGTAACGCCCTCTCTAATGGTAACGCCCTCTCTAATGGTAACGCCCTCTCTAATGGTAACGCCCTCTCTAATGGTAACGCCCTCTCTAATGGTAACGCCCTCCCTAATGGTAACGCCCTCTCTAATGGTAACGGCCTTTCTAATGGTAACGCCATCTCTAATGGTAACGCTTTCTCTAATGGTGACGCCCTCTTTAATGGTAACGCCCTCTCTAATGGTAACGCCCTCTCTAATGGTAACGCAATTTCTAATGGTAACGCCCGCTCTAATGGTAACGCCCTCTCTAATGGTAACGCCCTCTCTAATGGTAACGCCCTCTCTAATGGTAACGCCCTCTTTAATGGTAACGCCCTCTCTAATGGTAACGCCATTTTTAATGGTAACGCCCTCTCTAATGGTAACGCCCTCTCTAATGGTAACGCCCTCTCTAATGGTAACGGCATTTTTAATGGTAACGCCCTCTCTAATGGTAACGGCCTCTCTAATGGTAACGGCCTCTCTAATGGTAACGGCATTTTTAATGGTAATGCCCTCTCTAATGGTAACGCCCTCTCTAATGGTAACGCCCTCTCTAATGGTAATGTCATCTCTAATGGTAACGGCCTCTTTAATGGTAACGGTCTCTCTAATGGTAACGGCCTCTCTAATGGTAACGCCCTCTCTAATTGTAACGCCCTCTCTAATGGTAACGCCCTCTCTAATGGTAATGCAATTTCTAATGGTAACGCCCGCTCTAATGGTAACGCCCTCTCTAATGGTAACGCCCTCTCTAATGGTAACGCCCTCTCTAATGGTAACACCCTCTCTAATGGTAACGCCCTCTTTAATGGTAACGCCCTCTCTAATGGTAACGCCCTTTTTAATGGTAACGCCCTCTCTAATGGTAACGCCCTCTCTAATGGTAACGCCTCTCTAATGGTGACGCCCTCTCTTATGGTGACGCCCTCTCTAATGGTAACGCCCTCTCTAATGGTAATGCCCCAGCGCCCTCTCTCTAATGGTAGCGCGCTCTCTAATAGTAGCGCCCTCTCTAATGGTAGCGCCATCTCTAATGGTAACGCCCTCTCTAATGGTAACGCCCTCTCTAATAGTAACGCCCTCTCTAATGGTAACGCCCTCCCTAATGGTAACGCCCTCTCTAATGGTAACGCCCTCTCTAATGGTAACGCCCTCTCTAATGGTAACGCCCTCTCTAATGGTAACGCACTCCCTAATGGTAACGCCCTCTCTAATGGTAACGGCCTTTCTAATGGTAACGCCTTCTCTAATGGTAACGCTTTCTCTAATGGTGACGCCCTCTTTAATGGTAACGCCATCTCTAAAAGTAACGCCCTCTCTAATAGTAACGCCCTTTCTCATGGTAACGCCCTCTCTAATGGTGACGCCTCTCTAATGGTGACGCCCTCTCTAATGGTAACGCCCTCTCTAATGGTAACGCCCTCTTTAATGGTAACGCCATCTCTAATGGTAACGGCCTCTCTAATGGTAACGCTCTCTCTAATGGTAACGCCCTCTCTAATGGTAACGCCCTCTCCAATGGTAACGCCCTTTCTCATGGTAACGCCCTCTCTAATAGTAACGCCCTCTCTAATGGTAACGCCCTCTCTCATGGTAGCGCCCTCTCTAATGGTAGCGCCCTCTTTAATGGCAACGCCCTCTCTAATGGTAACGCCCGCTCTAATAATAACGCCCTCTCTAATGGTAACGCCCTCTCTAATGGTAACACCCTCTCTAATGTAACGCCCCTCTCTAATGGTAACGCCCTCTCTAATGGTAACGCCCTCTCTAATGGTAACGCAATTTCTAATGGTAACGCCCTCTCTAATGGTAACGCCCTCTCTAATGGTAACGGCATTTTTAATGGTAACGCCCTCTCTAATGGTAACGGCATTTTTAATGGTAACGCCCTCTCTAATGATAACGGCCTCTCTAATGGTAATGCCCTCTCTAATGGTAACGCCCTCTCTAATGGTAACGCCCTCTCTAATGGTAATGCCATCTGTAATGGTAACGGCCTCTCTAATGGTAACGGTCTCTCTAATGGTAACGGCCTCTCTAATGGTAACGCCCTCTCTAATTGTAACGCCCTCTCTAATGGTAACGCCCTCTCTAATGGTTACGCAATTTCTAATGGTAACGCCCGCTCTAATGGTAACGCCCTCTCTAATAATAACGCCCTCTCTAATGGTAACGCCCTCTCTAATGGTAACGCCCTCTCTAATGGTAACGCCCTCTCTAATGGTAACGCAATTTCTAATGGTAACGCCCGCTCTAATGGTAACGCCCTCTCTAATGGTAACGCCCTCTCTAATGGTAACGCCCTCTCTAATGGTAACGCCCTCTTTAATGGTAGCGCCCTCTCTAATGGTAACGTCATTTTTAATGGTAACGCCCTCTCTAATGGTAACGCCCTCTCTAATGGTAACGCCGTCTCTAATGGTAACGGCATTTTTAATGGTAACGCCCTCTCTAATGGTAACGGCCTCTCTAATGGTAACGGCCTCTCTAATGGTAACGGCATTTTTAATGGTAATGCCCTCTCTAATGGTAACGCCCTCTCTAATGGTAACGCCCTCTCTAATGGTAATGCCATCTCTAATGGTAACGGCCTCTTTAATGGTAACGCCCTCTCTAATGGTAACGCCCTTTTTAATGGTAACGCCCTCTCTAATGGTAACGCCCTCTCTAATGGTAACGCCTCCCTAATGGTGACGCCCTCTCTTATGGTGACGCCCTCTCTAATGGTAATGCCCTCTCTAATGGTGACGCCCTCTCTAATGGTAACGCCCTCTCTAATGGTAACGCTCTCTCTAATGGTAACGCCCTCTCTAATGGTAACGCACTCTCTAATGGTAACGCCCTCTTTAATGGTCACGGCCTCTCTAATAGTAACGCCCTCTCTAATGGTAACGCCCTCTCTAATGGTAACGCCCTCTCTAATGGTAATGCTCTCTCTAATGGTAACGCCCTCTCTAATGGTAACGTCCTCTCTAATGGTAACGTCCTCTCTAATGGTAGCGCCCTCTCTAATGGTAGCGCCCTCTCTAATGGTAGCGCCCTCTCTAATGGTAGCGCCCTCTCTAATGGTAACGCCATCTCTAATGGTAGCGCCCTCTCTCTAATGGTAGCGCCCTCTCTAATAGTAGCGCCCTCTCTAATGGTAGCGCCATCTCTAATGGTAACGCCCTCTCTAATGGTAACGCCCTCTCTAATGGTAACGCCCTCTCTAATGGTAACGCCCTCTCTAATGATAACGCCCTCTCTAATGGTAACGCCCTCTCTAATGGTAACGCCCTCTCTAATGGTAACGCCCTCTCTAATGGTAACGCCCTCTCTAATGGTAACGCCCTCTCTAATGGTAACGCCCTCCCTAATGGTAACGCCCTCTCTAATGGTAACGGCCTTTCTAATGGTAACGCCATCTCTAATGGTAACGCTTTCTCTAATGGTGACGCCCTCTCTAATGGTAACGCCCTCTCTAATGGTAACGCCCTCTCTAATGGTAACGCAATTTCTAATGGTAACGCCCGCTCTAATGGTAACGCCCTCTCTAATGGTAACGCCCTCTCTAATGGTAACGCCCTCTCTAATGGTAACGCCCTCTTTAATGGTAACGCCCTCTCTAATGGTAACGCCATTTTTAATGGTAACGCCCTCTCTAATGGTAACGCCCTCTCTAATGGTAACGCCCTCTCTAATGGTAACGGCATTTTTAATGGTAACGCCCTCTCTAATGGTAACGGCCTCTCTAATGGTAACGGCCTCTCTAATGGTAACGGCATTTTTAATGGTAATGCCCTCTCTAATGGTAACGCCCTCTCTAATGGTAACGCCCTCTCTAATGGTAATGCCATCTCTAATGGTAACGGCCTCTTTAATGGTAACGGTCTCTCTAATGGTAACGGCCTCTCTAATGGTAACGCCCTCTCTAATTGTAACGCCCTCTCTAATGGTAACGCCCTCTCTAATGGTAATGCAATTTCTAATGGTAACGCCCGCTCTAATGGTAACGCCCTCTCTAATGGTAACGCCCTCTCTAATGGTAACGCCCTCTCTAATGGTAACACCCTCTCTAATGGTAACGCCCTCTTTAATGGTAACGCCCTCTCTAATGGTAACGCCCTTTTTAATGGTAACGCCCTCTCTAATGGTAACGCCCTCTCTAATGGTAACGCCTCTCTAATGGTGACGCCCTCTCTTATGGTGACGCCCTCTCTAATGGTAACGCCCTCTCTAATGGTAATGCCCCAGCGCCCTCTCTCTAATGGTAGCGCGCTCTCTAATAGTAGCGCCCTCTCTAATGGTAGCGCCATCTCTAATGGTAACGCCCTCTCTAATGGTAACGCCCTCTCTAATAGTAACGCCCTCTCTAATGGTAACGCCCTCCCTAATGGTAACGCCCTCTCTAATGGTAACGCCCTCTCTAATGGTAACGCCCTCTCTAATGGTAACACCCTCTCTAATGGTAACGCACTCCCTAATGGTAACGCCCTCTCTAATGGTAACGGCCTTTCTAATGGTAACGCCTTCTCTAATGGTAACGCTTTCTCTAATGGTGACGCCCTCTTTAATGGTAACGCCATCTCTAAAAGTAACGCCCTCTCTAATAGTAACGCCCTTTCTCATGGTAACGCCCTCTCTAATGGTGACGCCTCTCTAATGGTGACGCCCTCTCTAATGGTAACGCCCTCTCTAATGGTAACGCCCTCTTTAATGGTAACGCCATCTCTAATGGTAACGGCCTCTCTAATGGTAACGCTCTCTCTAATGGTAACGCCCTCTCTAATGGTAACGCCCTCTCCAATGGTAACGCCCTTTCTCATGGTAACGCCCTCTCTAATAGTAACGCCCTCTCTAATGGTAACGCCCTCTCTCATGGTAGCGCCCTCTCTAATGGTAGCGCCCTCTTTAATGGCAACGCCCTCTCTAATGGTAACGCCCGCTCTAATAATAACGCCCTCTCTAATGGTAACGCCCTCTCTAATGGTAACACCCTCTCTAATGGTAACGCCCTCTCTAATGGTAACGCCCTCTCTAATGGTAACGCCCTCTCTAATGGTAACGCAATTTCTAATGGTAACGCCCTCTCTAATGGTAACGCCCTCTCTAATGGTAACGGCATTTTTAATGGTAACGCCCTCTCTAATGGTAACGGCATTTTTAATGGTAACGCCCTCTCTAATGATAACGGCCTCTCTAATGGTAATGCCCTCTCTAATGGTAACGCCCTCTCTAATGGTAACGCCCTCTCTAATGGTAATGCCATCTGTAATGGTAACGGCCTCTCTAATGGTAACGGTCTCTCTAATGGTAACGGCCTCTCTAATGGTAACGCCCTCTCTAATTGTAACGCCCTCTCTAATGGTAACGCCCTCTCTAATGGTTACGCAATTTCTAATGGTAACGCCCGCTCTAATGGTAACGCCCTCTCTAATAATAACGCCCTCTCTAATGGTAACGCCCTCTCTAATGGTAACGCCCTCTCTAATGGTAACGCCCTCTTTAATGGTAACGCCCTCTCTAATGGTAACGCCCTTTTTAATGGTAACGCCCTCTCTAATGGTAACGCCCTCTCTAATGGTAACGCCTCTCTAATGGTGACGCCCTCTCTTATGGTGACGCCCTCTTTAATGGTAATGCCCTCTCTAATGGTGATGCCCTCTCTAATGGTAACGCCCTCTCTAATGGTAACGCTCTCTCTAATGGTAACGCCCTCTCTAATGGTAACGCACTCTCTAATGGTAACGCCCTCTTTAATGGTAACGGCCTCTCTAATAGTAACGCCCTCTCTAATGGTAACGCCCTCTCTAATGGTAACGCCCTCTCTAGTGGTAACGCCCTCTCAAATGGTAACGCCCTCTCTAATGGTAACGCCCTTTCTAATGGTAACGCCCTCTCTAATGGTAACGCCCTCTCTAATGGTAACGCCCTCCCTAATGGTAACGCCCTCTCTAATGGTAACGGCCTTTCTAATGGTAACGCCCTCTCTAATGGTAACGCTCTCTCTAATGGTAACGCCCTCTCTAATGGTAACGCACTCTCTAATGGTAACGCCCTCTTTAATGGTAACGGCCTCTCTAATAGTAACGCCCTCTCTAATAGTAACGCCCTCTCTAATGGTAACGCCATCTCTAATGGTAGCGCCCTCTCTCTAATGGTAATGCCCTCTCTAATAGTAGCGCCCTCTCTAATGGTAGCGCCATCTCTAATGGTAACGCCCTCTCTAATGGTAACGCCCTCTCTAATGGTAACGCCCTCTCTAATGGTAACGCCCTCTCTAATGATAACGCCCTCTCTAATGGTAACGCCCTCTCTAATGGTAACGCCCTCTCTAATGGTAACGCCCTCTCTAATGGTAACGCCCTCTCTAATGGTAACGCCCTCTCTAATGGTAACGCCCTCCCTAATGGTAACGCCCTCTCTAATGGTAACGGCATTTCTAATGGTAACGCCATCTCTAATGGTAACGCTTTCTCTAATGGTGACGCCCTCTTTAATGGTAACGCCCTCTCTAATGGTAACGCCCTCTCTAATGGTAACGCAATTTCTAATGGTAACGCCCTCTCTAATGGTAACGCCCTCTCTAATGGTAACGCAATTTCTAATGGTAACGCCCGCTCTAATGGTAACGCCCTCTCTAATGGTAACGCCCTCTCTAGTGGTAACGCCCTCTCTAATGGTAACGCCCTCTCTAATGGTAACGCCATTTTTTATGGTAACGCCCTCTCTAATGGTAACGGCCTCTCTAATGGTAACGCCCTCTCTAATTGTAACGCCCTCTCTAATGGTAACGCCCTCTCTAATGGTAACGCAATTTCTAATGGTAACGCCCGCTCTAATGGTAACGCCCTCTCTAATGGTAACGCCCTCTCTAATGGTAACGCCCTCTCTAATGGTAACGCCCTCTTTAATGGTAACGCCCTCTCTAATGGTAACGCCCTTTTAATGGTAACGCCCTCTCTAATGGTAACGCCCTCTCTAATGGTAACGCCTCTCTAATGGTGACGCCCTCTCTTATGGTGACGCCCTCTCTAATGGTAATGCCCTCTCTAATGGTGACGCCCTCTCTAATGGTAACGCCCTCTCTAATGGTAACGCTCTCTCTAATGGTAACGCCCTCTCTAATGGTAACGCACTCTCTAATGGTAACGCCCTCTTTAATGGTAACGGCCTCTCTAATAGTAACGCCCTCTCTAATCGTAACGCCCTCTCTAATGGTAACGCCCTCTCTAATGGTAACGCCCTCTCAAATGGTAACGCCCTCTCTAATGGTAACGCCCTCTCTAATGGTAACGCCCTCTCTAATGGTAACGCCCTCTCTAATGGTAACGCCCTCCCTAATGATAACGCCCTCTCTAATGGTAACGGCCTTTCTAATGGTAACGCCATCTCTAATGGTAACGCTTTCTCTAATGGTGACGCCCTCTCTAATGGTAACGCCATCTCTAAAAGTAACGCCCTCTCTAATAGTAACGCCCTTTCTCATGGTAACGCCCTCTCTAATGGTGACGCCTCTCTAATGGTGACGCCCTCTCTAATGGTAACGCCCTCTCTAATGGTAACGCCCTCTCTAATGGTAACGCCCTCTCTAATGGTAACGGCCTCTCCAATGGTAACGCTCTCTCTAATGGTAACGCCCTCTCTAATGGTAACGCCCTCTCCAATGGTAACGCCCTTTCTCATGGTAACGCGCTCTCTAATAGTAACGCCCTCTCTAATGGTAACGCCCTCTCTAATGGTAACGCCCTCTCTAATGGTAATGCCATCTCTAATGGTAACGGCCTCTCTAATGGTAACGGTTTCTCTAATGGTAACGGCCTCTCTAATGGTAACGCCCTCTCTAATTGTAACGCCCTCTCTAATGGTAACGCCCTCTCTAATGGTAACGCAATTTCTAATGGTAACGCCCGCTCTAATGGTAACGCCCTCTCTAATGGTAACGCCCTCTCTAATGGTAACGCCCTCTCTAATGGTAACGCCCTCTCTAATGGTAACGCCCTTTTTAATGGTAACGCCCTCTCTAGTGGTAACGCCATTTTTAATGGTAACGCCCTCTCTAATGGTAACGCCCTCTCTAATGGTAACGCCTCTCTAATGGTGACGCCCTCTCTTATGGTGACGCCCTCTCTAATGGTAATGCCCTCTCTAATGGTGACGCCCTCTCTAATGGTAACGCCCTCTCTAATGGTAACGCTCTCTCTAATGGTAACGCCCTCTCTAATGGTAACGCACTCTCTAATGGTAACGCCCTCTTTAATGGTAACGGCCTCTCTAATAGTAACGCCCTCTCTAATGGTAACGCCCTCTCTAATGGTAACGCCCTCTCTAATGGTAACGCTCTCTCTAATGGTAACGCCCTCTCTAATGGTAACGTTTTCTCTAATGGTAACGTCCTCTCTAATGGTAGCGCCCTCTCTAATGGTAGCGCCCTCTCTAATGGTAGCGCCCTCTCTAATGGTAACGCCATCTCTAATGGTAGCGCCCTCTCTCTAATGGTAGCGCCCTCTCTAATAGTAGCGCCCTCTCTAATGGTAGCGCCATCTCTAATGGTAACGCCCCCTCTAATGGTAACGCCCTCTCTAATGGTAACGCCCTCTCTAATGGTAACGCCCTCCCTAATGGTAACGCCCTCTCTAATGGTAACGCCCTCTCTAATGGTAACGCCCTCTCTAATGGTAACGCCCTCTCTAATGGTAACGCCCTCCCTAATGGTAACGCCCTCTCTAATGGTAACGGCCTTTCTAATGGTAACGCCATCTCTAATGGTAACGCTTTCTCTAATGGTGACGCCCTCTTTAATCGTAACGCCATCTCTAAAAGTAACGCCCTCTCTAATAGTAACGCCCTTTCTCATGGTAACGCCCTCTCTAATGGTGACGCCTCTCTAATGGTGACGCCCTCTCTAATGGTAACGCCCTCTCTAATGGTAACGCCCTCTCTAATGGTAACGCCCTCTCTAATGGTAACGCCCTCTCTAATGGTAACACCCTCTCTAATGGTAATGCCATCTCTAATGGTAACGGCCTCTCTAATGGTAACGGTCTCTCTAATGGTAACGGCCTCTCTAATGGTAACGCCCTCTCTAATTGTACGCCCTCTCTAATGGTAACGCCCTCTCTAATGGTAACGCAATTTCTAATGGTAACGCCCGCTCTAATGGTAACGCCCTCTCTAATGGTAACGCCCTCTCTAATGGTAACGCCCTCTCTAATGGTAACGCCCTCTCTAATGGTAACGCCCTCTTTAATGGTAACGCCCTCTCTAATGGTAACGCCCTTTTTAATGGTAACGCCCTCTCTAATGGTAACGCCCTCTCTAATGGTAACGCCTCTCTAATGGTGACGCCCTCTCTTATGGTGACGCCCTCTCTAATGGTAATGCCCTCTCTAATGGTGACGCCCTCTCTAATGGTAACGCCCTCTCTAATGGTAACGCCCTCTCTAATGGTAACGCCCTCTCTAATGGTAACGCACTCTCTAATGGTAACGCCCTCTTTAATGGTAACGGCCTCTCTAATAGTAACGCCCTCTCTAATGGTGACGCCCTCTCTAATGGAAACGCCCTCTCTAATGGTAACGCTCTCTCTAATGGTAACGCCCTCTCTAATGGTAACGTCCTCTCTAATGGTAACGTCCTCTCTAATGGTAGCGCCCTCTCTAATGGTAGCGCCCTCTCTAATGGTAGCGCCCTCTCTAATGGTAGTGCCCTCTCTAATGGTAACGCCATCTCTAATGGTAGCGCCCTCTCTCTAATGGTAGCGCCCTCTCTAATAGTAGCGCCCTCTCTAATGGTAGCGCCATCTCTAATGGTAACGCCCTCTCTAATGGTAACGCCCTCCATAATAGTAACGCCCTCTCTAATGGTAACGCCCTCCCTAATGGTAACGCCCTCTCTAATGGTAACGCCCTCTCTAATGGTAACGCCCTCTCTAATGGTAACGCCCGCTCTAATGGTAACGCCCTCTCTAATGGTAACGCAATTTCTAATGGTAACGCCCTCTCTAATGGTAACGCCCTCTCTAATGGTAACGGCATTTTTAATGGTAACGCCCTCTCTAATGGTAACGGCATTTTTAATGGTAACGCCCTCTCTAATGGTAACGGCCTCTCTAATGGTAACGACCTCTCTAATGATAACGGCCTCTCTAATGGTAATGCCCTCTCTAATGGTAACGCCCTCTCTAATGGTAACGCCCTCTCTAATGGTAATGCCATCTCTAATGGTAACGGCCTCTCTAATGGTAACGGTCTCTCTAATGGTAACGGCCTCTCTAATGGTAACGCCCTCTCTAATTGTAACGCCCTCTCTAATGGTAACGCCCTCTCTAATGGTAACGCAATTTCTAATGGTAACGCCCGCTCTAACGGTAACGCCCTCTCTAATAATAACGCCCTCTCTAATGGTAACGCCCTCTCTAATGGTAACGCCCTCTCTAATGGTAACGCCCTCTTTAATGGTAACGCCCTCTCTAATGGTAACGCCTCTCTAATGGTGACGCCCTCTCTTATGGTGACGCCCTCTCTAATGGTAATGCCCTCTCTAATGGTGACGCCCTCTCTAATGGTAACGCCCTCTCTAATGGTAACGCTCTCTCTAATGGTAACGCCCTCTCTAATGGTAACGCACTCTCTAATGGTAACGCCCTCTTTAATGGTAACGGCCTCTCTAATAGTAACGCCCTCTCTAATGGTAACGCCCTCTCTAATGGTAACGCCCTCTCTAATGGTAACGCCCTCTCAAATGGTAACGCCCTCTCTAATGGTAACGCCCTTTCTAATGGTAACGCCCTCTCTAATGGTAACGCCCTCTCTAATGGTAACGCCCTCCCTAATGGTAACGCCCTCTCTAATGGTAACGGCCTTTCTAATGGTAACGCCCTCTCTAATGGTAACGCTCTCTCTAATGGTAACGCCCTCTCTAATGGTAACGCACTCTCTAATGGTAACGCCCTCTTTAATGGTAACGGCCTCTCTAATAGTAACGCCCTCTCTAATGGTAACGCCCTCTCTAATGGTAACGCCATCTCTAATGGTAGCGCCCTCTCTCTAATGGTAGCGCCCTCTCTAATAGTAGCGCCCTCTCTAATGGTAGCGCCATCTCTAATGGTAACGCCCTCTCTAATGGTAACGCCCTCTCTAATGGTAACGCCCTCTCTAATGGTAACGCCCTCTCTAATGGTAACGCCATCTCTAATGGTAACGCCCTCTCTAATGGTAACGCCCTCTCTAATGGTAACGCCCTCTCTAATGGTAACGCCCTCTCTAATGATAACGCCCTCTCTAATGGTAACGCCCTCTCTAATGGTAACGCCCTCTCTAATGGTAACGCCATCTCTAATGGTAACGCTTTCTCTAATGGTGACGCCCTCTTTAATGGTAACGCCCTCTCTAATGGTAACGCCCTCTCTAATGGTAACGCAATTTCTAATGGTAACGCCCGCTCTAATGGTAACGCCCTCTCTAATGGTAACGCCCTCTCTAGTGGTAACGCCCTCTCTAATGGTAACGCCCTCTCTAATGGTAACGCCCTCTTTAATGGTAACGCCCTCTCTAATGGTAACGCCATTTTTAATGGTAACGCCCTCTCTAATGGTAACGGCCTCTCTAATGGTAACGCCTTCTCTAATTGTAACGCCCTCTCTAATGGTAACGCCCTCTCTAATGGTAACGCAATTTCTAATGGTAACGCCCGCTCTAATGGTAACGCCCTCTCTAATGGTAACGCCCTCTCTAATTGTAACGCCCTCTCTAATGGTAACGCCCTCTCTAATGGTAACGCCCTCTTTAATGGTAACGCCCTCTCTAATGGTAACGCCCTTTTAATGGTAACGCCCTCTCTAATGGTAACGCCCTCTCTAATGGTAACGCCTCTCTAATGGTGACGCCCTCTCTTATGGTGACGCCCTCTCTAATGGTAATGCCCTCTCTAATGGTGACGCCCTCTCTAATGGTAATGCCATCTCTAATGGTAACGGCCTCTCTAATGGTAACGGTCTCTCTAATGGTAACGACCTCTCTAATGGTAACGCCCTCTCTAATTGTAACGCCCTCTCTAATGGTAACGCCCTCTCTAATGGTAACGCAATTTCTAATGGTAACGCCCGCTCTAATGGTAACGCCCTCTCTAATGGTAACGCCCTCTTTAATGGTAACGCCCTCTCTAATGGTAACGCCCTCTCTAATGGTAACGCCCTCTTTAATGGTAACGCCCTCTCTAATGGTAACGCCCTTTTTAATGGTAACGCCCTCTCTAATGGTAACGCCCTCTCTAATGGTAACGCCTCCCTAATGGTGACGCCCTCTCTTATGGTGACGCCCTCTCTAATGGTAATGCCCTCTCTAATGGTGACGCCCTCTCTAATGGTAACGCCCTCTCTAATGGTAACGCTCTCTCTAATGGTAACGCCCTCTCTAATGGTAACGCACTCTCTAATGGTAACGCCCTCTTTAATGGTCACGGCCTCTCTAATAGTAACGCCCTCTCTAATGGTAACGCCCTCTCTAATGGTAACGCCCTCTCTAATGGTAATGCTCTCTCTAATGGTAACGCCCTCTCTAATGGTAACGTCCTCTCTAATGGTAACGTCCTCTCTAATGGTAGCGCCCTCTCTAATGGTAGCGCCCTCTCTAATGGTAGCGCCCTCTCTAATGGTAGCGCCCTCTCTAATGGTAACGCCATCTCTAATGGTAGCGCCCTCTCTCTAATGGTAGCGCCCTCTCTAATAGTAGCGCCCTCTCTAATGGTAGCGCCATCTCTAATGGTAACGCCCTCTCTAATGGTAACGCCCTCTCTAATGGTAACGCCCTCTCTAATGGTAACGCCCTCTCTAATGATAACGCCCTCTCTAATGGTAACGCCCTCTCTAATGGTAACGCCCTCTCTAATGGTAACGCCCTCTCTAATGGTAACGCCCTCTCTAATGGTAACGCCCTCTCTAATGGTAACGCCCTCCCTAATGGTAACGCCCTCTCTAATGGTAACGGCCTTTCTAATGGTAACGCCATCTCTAATGGTAACGCTTTCTCTAATGGTGACGCCCTCTTTAATGGTAACGCCCTCTCTAATGGTAACGCCCTCTCTAATGGTAACGCAATTTCTAATGGTAACGCCCGCTCTAATGGTAACGCCCTCTCTAATGGTAACGCCCTCTCTAATGGTAACGCCCTCTCTAATGGTAACGCCCTCTCTAATGGTAACGCCCTCTCTAATGGTAACGCCCTCTTTAATGGTAGCGCCCTCTCTAATGGTAACGCCATTTTTAATGGTAACGCCCTCTCTAATGGTAACGCCCTCTCTAATGGTAACGCCCTCTCTAATGGTAACGGCATTTTTAATGGTAACGCCCTCTCTAATGGTAACGGCCTCTCTAATGGTAACGGCCTCTCTAATGGTAACGGCATTTTTAATGGTAATGCCCTCTCTAATGGTAACGCCCTCTCTAATGGTAACGCCCTCTCTAATGGTAATGCCATCTCTAATGGTAACGGCCTCTTTAATGGTAACGCCCTCTCTAATGGTAACGCCCTTTTTAATGGTAACGCCCTCTCTAATGGTAACGCCCTCTCTAATGGTAACGCCTCCCTAATGGTGACGCCCTCTCTTATGGTGACGCCCTCTCTAATGGTAATGCCCTCTCTAATGGTGACGCCCTCTCTAATGGTAACGCCCTCTCTAATGGTAACGCTCTCTCTAATGGTAACGCCCTCTCTAATAGTAACGCACTCTCTAATGGTAACGCCCTCTTTAATGGTCACGGCCTCTCTAATAGTAACGCCCTCTCTAATGGTAACGCCCTCTCTAATGGTAACGCCCTCTCTAATGGTAATGCTCTCTCTAATGGTAACGCCCTCTCTAATGGTAACGTCCTCTCTAATGGTAACGTCCTCTCTAATGGTAGCGCCCTCTCTAATGGTAGCGCCCTCTCTAATGGTAGCGCCCTCTCTAATGGTAGCGCCCTCTCTAATGGTAACGTCATCTCTAATGGTAGCGCCCTCTCTCTAATGGTAGCGCCCTCTCTAATAGTAGCGCCCTCTCTAATGGTAGCGCCATCTCTAATGGTAACGCCCTCTCTAATGGTAACGCCCTCTCTAATGGTAACGCCCTCTCTAATGATAACGCCCTCTCTAATGGTAACGCCCTCTCTAATGGTAACGCCCTCTCTAATGGTAACGCCCTCTCTAATGGTAACGCCCTCTCTAATGGTAACGCCCTCTCTAATGGTAACGCCCTCCCTAATGGTAACGCCCTCTCTAATGGTAACGGCCTTTCTAATGGTAACGCCATCTCTAATGGTAACGCTTTCTCTAATGGTGACGCCCTCTTTAATGGTAACGCCCTCTCTAATGGTAACGCCCTCTCTAATGGTAACGCAATTTCTAATGGTAACGCCCGCTCTAATGGTAACGCCCTCTCTAATGGTAACGCCCTCTCTAATGGTAACGCCCTCTCTAATGGTAACGCCCTCTTTAATGGTAACGCCCTCTCTAATGGTAACGCCATTTTTAATGGTAACGCCCTCTCTAATGGTAACGCCCTCTCTAATGGTAACGCCCTCTCTAATGGTAACGGCATTTTTAATGGTAACGCCCTCTCTAATGGTAACGGCCTCTCTAATGGTAACGGCCTCTCTAATGGTAACGGCATTTTTAATGGTAATGCCCTCTCTAATGGTAACGCCCTCTCTAATGGTAACGCCCTCTCTAATGGTAATGCCATCTCTAATGGTAACGGCCTCTTTAATGGTAACGGTCTCTCTAATGGTAACGGCCTCTCTAATGGTAACGCCCTCTCTAATTGTAACGCCCTCTCTAATGGTAACGCCCTCTCTAATGGTAATGCAATTTCTAATGGTAACGCCCGCTCTAATGGTAACGCCCTCTCTAATGGTAACGCCCTCTCTAATGGTAACGCCCTCTCTAATGGTAACACCCTCTCTAATGGTAACGCCCTCTTTAATGGTAACGCCCTCTCTAATGGTAACGCCCTTTTTAATGGTAACGCCCTCTCTAATGGTAACGCCCTCTCTAATGGTAACGCCTCTCTAATGGTGACGCCCTCTCTTATGGTGACGCCCTCTCTAATGGTAACGCCCTCTCTAATGGTAATGCCCCAGCGCCCTCTCTCTAATGGTAGCGCGCTCTCTAATAGTAGCGCCCTCTCTAATGGTAGCGCCATCTCTAATGGAAACGCCCTCTCTAATGGTAACGCCCTCTCTAATAGTAACGCCCTCTCTAATGGTAACGCCCTCCCTAATGGTAACGCCCTCTCTAATGGTAACGCCCTCTCTAATGGTAACGCCCTCTCTAATGGTAACGCCCTCTCTATTTGTAACGCCCTCTCTAATGGTAACGCCCTCTCCAATGGTAACGCCCTTTCTCATGGTAACGCGCTCTCTAATAGTAACGCTCTCTCTAATGGTAACGCCCTCTCTAATGGTAACGCCCTCTCTAATGGTAATGCCATCTCTAATGGTAACGGCCTCTCTAATGGTAACGGTCTCTCTAATGGTAACGACCTCTCTAATGGTAACGCCCTCTCTATTTGTAACGCCCTCTCTAATGGTAACGCCCTCTCTAATGGTAACGCAATTTCTAATGGTAACGCCCGCTCTAATGGTAACGCCCTCTCTAATGGTAACGCCCTCTTTAATGGTAACGCCCTCTCTAATGGTAACGCCCTCTCTAATGGTAACGCCCTCTTTAATGGTAACGCCCTCTCTAATGGTAACGCCCTTTTTAATGGTAACGCCCTCTCTAATGGTAACGCCCTCTCTAATGGTAACGCCCTCTCTAATGGTAACGCCCTCTCAAATGGTAACGCCCTCTCTAATGGTAACGCCCTTTCTAATGGTAACGCCCTCTCTAATGGTAACGCCCTCTCTAATGGTAACGCCCTCCCTAATGGTAACGCCCTCTCTAATGGTAACGGCCTTTCTAATGGTAACGCCATCTCTAATGGTAACGCTTTCTCTAATGGTGACGCCCTCTCTAATGGTAACGCCATCTCTAAAAGTAACGCCCTCTCTAATAGTAACGCCCTTTCTCATGGTAACGCCCTCTCTAATGGTGACGCCTCTCTAATGGTGACGCCCTCTCTAATGGTAACGCCCTCTCTAATGGTAACGCCCTCTCTAATGGTAACGCCCTCTCTAATGGTAACGCCCTCTCCAATGGTAACGCTCTCTCTAATGGTAACGCCCTCTCTAATGGTAACGCCCTCTCCAATGGTAACGCCCTTTCTCATGGTAACGCGCTCTCTAATAGTAACGCTCTCTCTAATGGTAACGCCCTCTCTAATGGTAACGCCCTCTCTAATGGTAACGGCCTCTCTAATGGTAACGGCCTCTCTAATGATAACGGCCTCTCTAATGGTAATGCCCTCTCTAATGGTAACGCCCTCTCTAATGGTAACGCCCTCTCTAATGGTAATGCCATCTCTAATGGTAACGGCCTCTCTAATGGTAACGGTCTCTCTAATGGTAACGGCCTCTCTAATGGTAACGCCCTCTCTAATTGTAACGCCCTCTCTAATGGTAACGCCCTCTCTAATGGTAACGCAATTTCTAATGGTAACGCCCGCTCTAATGGTAACGCCCTCTCTAATAATAACGCCCTCTCTAATGGTAACGCCCTCTCTAATGGTAATGCCATCTCTAATGGTAACGGCCTCTCTAATGGTAACGGTCTCTCTAATGGTAACGACCTCTCTAATGGTAACGCCCTCTCTAATTGTAACGCCCTCTCTAATGGTAACGCCCTCTCTAATGGTAACGCAATTTCTAATGGTAACGCCCGCTCTAATGGTAACGCCGTCTCTAATGGTAACGCCCTCTTTAATGGTAACGCCCTCTCTAATGGTAACGCCCTCTCTAATGGTAACGCCCTCTTTAATGGTAACGCCCTCTCTAATGGTAACGCCCTTTTTAATGGTAACGCCCTCTCTAATGGTAACGCCCTCTCTAATGGTAACGCCTCCCTAATGGTGACGCCCTCTCTAATGGTAATGCCCTCTCTAATGGTGACGCCTGTCAGAATGTTATCTTATGCTCTAGCCTGTAGTGGGGTGCTCTATAGCGAGTACAACCCTTCTAGGGTTTGCTATTTGTATCCTCATTCTTGCTAGTGCAATCCTCTTCTCTCTTCTTTCTTCTAAACTTTAACATGCTATCAGAGCAGGTCGATCCCCTTGGATCGATCCTGTGGGTGGGCTCACCACCTTGTTGCTTCCGCTGCAACTGCTACTGCTACTCTCTGTGCCGCACGCCTCGTGGCGTGCGGCAGTTTTTCTTCCCGCCGTGCGCCCCGAGGCGCGCGGCGGTTTTCTGCCCGCCGTGCGCCCCGAGGCGCGCGGCGGTTTCCTGCCCGCCGCGCGCCCCGAGGCGCGCGGCGGGTCGCGCGACCCCTGCAGCCCCGTCGCGCCGCCCAGGGGAGCCGCGCGCGGCCCCTGCAGCCCCGTCGCGCCGCCCAGGGGAGCCGCGCGCGGCCCCTGCAGCCCCGTCGCGCCGCCCAGGGGAGCCGCGCGCGACCCCTGCAGCCCCGTCGCGCCGCCCAGGGGAGCCGCGCGCGGCCCCTGCAGCCCCGTCGCGCCGCCCAGGGGAGCCGCGCGCGGCCCCTGCAGCCCCGTCGCGCCGCCCAGGGGAGCCGCGCGCGGCCCCTGCAGCCCCGTCGCGCCGCCCAGGGGAGCCGCGCGCGACCCCTGCAGCCCCGTCGCGCCGCCCAGGGGAGCCGCGCGCGGCCCCTGCAGCCCCGTCGCGCCGCCCAGGGGAGCCGCGCGCGGCCCCTGCAGCCCCGTCGCGCCGCCCAGGGGAGCCGCGCGCGGCCCCTGCTGCCCCGTCGCGCGGCCCTGCTGCCCCGTCGCGCTGCCCAGGGGAGCCGTGCGCGGCCCCTGCTGCCCCGCCCCGTCCCCGACCTGCCCCGGCCC